TGGAGACATCAATCCCAGAAATGCTGGACTGGCTGAGCAACTTGAGTAAAGCCCATCTTCCCTTTTGTCATGCAGGCCCTGGGAACTGCTTTAGGAATGAGAAAAATGAACATAAAATGGTCTAATCAGTATGTAAATTATTATCTGGCTTACAGTTTCATAGACTAACGGAGTTATTGGGGGAGATTGCTTTTATCTTCAATGTGACTTCAAGTCTATCTTTTTATACTTTATTTGCATTTATTAGTGTTTAATCCCACAGAATTATCCTATTCACCTATTTTAAGTGTTCTAATTCCGGCACACAATTCCTCTACCTACACGTTCTAAATATATAATTGTAGGTTGAAAGAATGGTTTTATTCATTCAACCCTAAGCATTCAGTGGTTGCTACATTCTTCAAGTTATGTTTTCTCAGTTCCTTATGTTGGTTAACTTCTAACTGATTAGACTGAGAAGTAGAATTTCCATCACAGTAGTACTCATGCTGAGTAGTCACTGCTTATTGATTTGTCTGGTGGAAAACCTGAAGGTAGGACCTGTATCAGTCAGGGTCTTAGCAGGGAACCACTGTTTAATCAAGTTAGAGCTTAATGGGAGATAATTTAATAATTTTTTTCCAGAGGTACAGGCAGGGTTAATCACTCCAATAAGGGATGTTGAAGTATCCAGGGTTTCGCTACAGTGGGAAGCTATTATCTCCCCTAGGCCTGAAGGTCGATGACAAGGAAGTTATTAGAATCTGGCAAGTGATGGAATGGAGCTATAGCCAAGGGGCTGCCTGAGAGGGGCAGTGGCCAAATGTGATTGAGAATTGCTGGTGAAATGATTCACCAACCACAGGCAGAGGCTGACCATCATAGGCCTCATTTCAATAACTTATGTTTCATTAATGAGTCATCATCAATTTCTCTTTCATTTTGATAGCCCCCTATTAGGCTTCAGATTTTGAGGTAACTCTTCTACTAGACATTTTAAAGTAGTAACTACTTAAATCTTACTCTAAAATCTCACATTTTAAAGTAGTAACTGTTTTTCTCATTGCTATTAACCAAAACCACACATTAATGCTGAGCTTCTGTTAAGTAAAAAATAACTAGGGATACCAGACTGAGTTTTTACAGCTCATTCAAAAGAAAAGCAATTTGACATACTTGTTACCGTTTGCAGGCTTAGCAAGAGAAAGACATGTGCTTGTTTATCGTCTAAACTAGCACTTTGCCCCTGATACTTCTCAAAGCTGAAGGACCCTCTAAGATCAAGAACCGATGAAGTAAGTCTTCAGATGTGATAAACTGGTGTTCTATAGGGAAATTAAAGCCAATGTGAAATTTGCAGTTGACTTTTGTGATGACTACCTTCCCCTTTTATAATCTGAGTGTATTACGCATTTATATATAAATTTGTTTTTTCAGGGCTATAGAAAAATGTGCTGCTCAAAAGCAGATTTCCATCTTGAAAAGGCAAATTACTGGGAAAAATTAATCTGTTTTCTCTACCAAGGTAACCTAGTAATTTATGAAACACACTTGGGACTCTAAGCAGGATATTTGGCACCACACCTTCTAATCACACCCACACTTTGCTGTGTAGCTGGATTCTGTTTTCTCATTGAACACATAGTTTCTTTCCCTAAAAATGAGAATGAAAAATCTTGTTCTTTGAGAAACAAAGTTGGAACTTTATGTATTTTTATGACATTATTTTGAGTATCAGTTTTGAGATAACTATTTCAGATTCTGGAAAGCAATGAGGCCATATCTGGTTTCAGAGTTACATGGCTGTTACAGGCTCAACATTAGGTAACATATTTTGTTTTCAGTCTGTTTAAACTCCAGTATTGACGGGTTTCTCTCTCTTGAACTTTGCATCCACAATCCAGTATTAGGGAGGGTCAAGAACGTAAGTGTTTTCATCATTAACCATTAACTTTTAAAGCATCATTAATCCTGTGTATGATTAGCTCAGCTTTCAGAAACAGAATTCAAAAATATGGTAAAAATCACCAGGACAAACTTTTAACAGTTTTCACCAGTATTCCCAAAGTGATTATCAAAGCCTTGAGTTTTAAAAAGAAGGGGCTTCCTTATGGGCTGGGTCCCCCCAACAGGGGGAGTTGATTAAGAAAATCTTACCACTTTCTTAGAACTTTATAGAAAAGAAGTCCTGTTGAAGCACAGGGGTAGTGAAAGGGGTGTTTAAGAAGTGGTCTCAAGTGAGGTTGCAATGGTCTCAGTGAGGTTTTGGGGTGCCGGTGGAGCCCCTTTGCCTTGGTTCCAGCAGAAGAGTGATGCATGCAAAGCATGTAGTTACGAGTGCCCCAGGTCTTTTTGGGCTTTAGCTGCTTACCACATGGTGAAAAGGGACAGTGATAGAAATCCAAAGTGGACTTTATTATTATTATTATTATTATGGCTTTATATATAGTCAAAAGAGCTCACCTTCTTCTCCTAGCTCAGACATGGGTTTGGCTAAGGAAGGGGAAATGGGGTTGGAGAGGTTGGGAGCAGGGCATGCAATGCTCTTCTGAAGAAATAGGGACATGAAGGAGATATGCCTGCAACTCTCCATCAGGATGAAGGATTATTTCTATTAGCCTTTGAGCATTTGGATCCTTATGATTTTGGTGCTTCTCTGTAGCATTGCAGACATAGCAGGAGACTGCCTCCTGCTGGGGTCAGTATTTTCTGCATCCCGTGAATGAAAGTGGGAACAGCCTTGGGAACTGATGCCGAAGGTGGGAGAATCTAATGCCCTCAGTCTCCAGTGAACTAAAGTAAGAATTTTACTACTTTCAGTGCTTGGGAACTGCTGCAATACATGGGCTTCTCCAACTTACTTCCTTAAACCTCCACTCACCAGATTTTCAGTTACTGCACAGGTAGAATGGTGGGTCAAGTTCTAAATGTCACATGACTGTCTTGCTTATTTATATGTTGGGGGAAGCCCGTGGAGTACTCAGGCCCTAAAGAAACCCTTTTAGATGAATAAACATGCCAGAGTCCTTATGCTAGTTCTACCTATGAGGTGTTTGCTACAGTCTGAAAGTTTATGAAACCCTAGCATTCATATGTTAAAATTCTAAAACCTCCAATCCCTGTGATAGTATTTGGAGGCAGAGCCTTTGGAAGGTAATAAGGTCATGGGGAGAAAGGCCTCATGAACGAGATTAGTGCTCTTATGAAAGAGGCTGGAGGCCAGGTATGAAGGCTCATGCGTGTAATCCCAGCACTTTCACAGGCTGAAAGGTAGGATCGCTTGAGCCCAGGAGTTCAAGACCAGCCTGGCCAACATAGTGAGACCCTACCTCTACAAATAATTTTAAAATTAGCCCAACGTAGTGGTGCGTGCCTGTAGTCCTAGCTACTCAGGAGGCTGAAGTGGGAGGATCACATGAGCCCAAGAAGTCAAGGCTGCAGTGAGTAAGAAAGTACTTTCCTACAAACCAGGAAGAGAGCCCTCACTAGACACCCAAACTGCCAGCACCTTGATCTTGGACTTCCTAGCCTCCAGGGCTGTGAGAAATAAATTCCTGTGGTTTATAAGCCACCCAGTCTATGGTATTTTGTTACAGCAGCCCAAATGGACTGAGGGAGTATTCCTAGTCCCATCTCACATCTTAGAGTACACATCCTAGAGAATACATGTTGAGAGTAAAAAGCTTTTAGGTGTTTCAGGGCATCTCCCATTACCCCCATTATCCTCTTTTCCCTAAAGTCATGGAGTGAGGGGGTTCAGAACTACCTGAAGCACATAAATTTATACTAAGAGACCACATAACACCCTTTTGTTGACTCTCAGGCCCATGGGGTAACCTAGTGCCCAGAGCCCCCTCACTTGAGATCTTGGAGGTTCCCTGTCAAAGGCCTAGAAAGACAAGAGTTGAGAGCTGCCACTGCAGTTCAATGCAATTCCCATTTCATTTTCCAATAAGAGCTTTCAATACCTCCCTGATCCTCCTAAAATCCTTTCATTGGTGATGGCCCAGACTGTAGTCTCTGCCTAAAGTCTCACCAGCTCAGAGTAGAGCTTCCATTATGAGAAACTCTGATGCTTCCATGCACATGCAGTGGGTAGATGGGTAGGTCAGGGCAATGGACATGTTTGGATGTACCAAGTAGGAAAGAGGAAAGGTCAGAATCATATTCTTCCTTATGGGAAATGCTCAGTTTCCTGTCTATAAAATGGGCAAAATCCTCTGCCCCATCTCCTTGCTGGAGTAATAGTGCAAAGCAGATGAATCAGGAGGGATAATCAGGTCCTCAGTGGCATCAGTGGATTCTTACACTCTCTGAACCCTTAAGGTTACAGGCAAGCAATATTTTTCCCAAGAGACTGCAGAGAAGTCACGAGGAGTTTAAGTTTCTGTTATTCTACTAACTGTTTAACCTTTGGAACAGTTACTTCAAATCACTCAGCTTCAGTTTTTGCCTGTAAATATCTTGTAGCATGTCCATGATAAACTATGGAGATGGTGAGGTCTGTCCAACTGCAGATGAGAGAAATTCACCCTCAAGGTTTGTTGAGCAGCTCTCCCTGTGTGGTTGCCATCCCCTCCTACTGCAATCTGCTTTCCTTGTGCAGTGGATAAATAGAATACAGATGGCTCAAGACTCAGGTCATCCCAGCATAGCAGTTCCAGAAGAAAGAAAACTTCCCTCTCCTAGAATCTTTTCTTAAAAATCCCAAAGAAGAGCTCAAACAAACATGGCTGGGGCCATGTGTTCATCCTAGAGCCAAAATCTTTGAATGGAACAATGTAATGCTGTGATTGAACAGAGTTGGCTCTTGTGCTTATCTCCATGGCTGGTTGTTGCAGTGGCAGGTTCATTGGAAAAACATGGAGTAAAGGAAGGGTAATTCCCAAATGAAGAGCATATAGTAGGTATATATATTTATGGGGTATGTGAAAATTTTTGATATAGGCATACAATGTGTAATAATTTCATCAGGATAAATGGAGTATCCATCATCTCAACCATTTATCCTTTGTGTTACAAATAATGTAATTATACCCTTTCAGTTATTTTTAAATGAGGAATTAAATGATTATTGACTATAGTCACCCTGATGTACTGTCAAATTGTTATTCATTCTAACAATATTTTGGTACCTATTAACCATCCTCACTTCCCTTGATCCCCCCATTACCCTTCTCAGCATCTGGTAGCCATCTTTCTACTCTCTATCTCCATGAATTCAATTGTTTTAATTTTTAGCTCCGACAAATAAGTGAAAACATGTGAAGTTTGGGTCTTTCTCTGCCTGGCTTATTTCACTTTACATAATGATGTGCAGTTCCATCAGTGTTGTTGCAAATGACAGGATCTCATGTTTTATGGCTGAACAGTACTCTGTTGTGTATATGTACCAGTTTCTTTCTTTTTTTTTTCTTAAGAGATCGGGTCTTGCTTTGTCACCCAGGCTGGACTACAGTGGTGTGATCATGGTTCACTGCCATCTTGAACTCCCAGGCTCAAGTGATCCTACTGCCTCTGCATCCTGAGTAGCTGGATCTAGAGATGTGAGCCACCATGGCTGGCTAATTAAACAAAAAAAAAGTAGAGATGGGGAGTTGCCATCTCGCCCACCTTGGTCTCAAACTCCTGGACTCAAACAGTCCTCCTGCCTTTGCCTCCCAAAGTGCTAAGATAAAAGGCATGAGCCACCACACCCAGCCTCACATTTTCTTTATCCATTAATTTGTTGATGGACACTTGGGTTGCTTCCAAATCTTGGCCATTGTGAAGAGTGCCACAACAAACATGGGAATGTACATTTCTCTTCGATATCCTGATTTCCTTTCTTTTGGGTATATACCTAGCAGTAAGACTGCTGAATCATAACGCAGATCTATTTTTAGTTTGTTGAGGAGCCTCCAAACTGTTCTGTGTAGCAGTTGTACTAATTTACATCCCCACTAACAGTTTACAAGGGTTCCCTTTTCTCCACATCCTTGCCAGAATTTGTTATTTCCTGCCTTTGAATAAAGCCATTTTAACTGGAGTGAGAAGATATCTCCTTGGTGTTTTGATTTGCATTTATCTCATAATGAATGATGTTGAGCACCTTTTCATATAGCTGATTGCCATCTGTATGTCTTCTTTTGAGAGATGTCTACTCAGACCTCTTGCCTATGTTTTAATTGGATTATTAGATTTTTTCCAATAGAATTGTTTGAGCTCTTCATTTATTCTGTTTATTAATCTCTTGTCAGATGGGTAGTTTGCAAATATTTTCTCTCATTCTGTGGATTGACTCTTCACTTTGTTG